GTTCCTAGAAGCTGCATGGCCTATGGCCATGCAGACCCCACACTTAATGGACTGATGGACTGCAGCTGGGAACACAAGCTAAACTAGCCTGATGCTGGATTGGACTGTGCAAATATGAAACAGAAACTTTGGGCAGCAGCTTTAATCCCAGCTCTGCTAAGGACACAGCTGGACTTCTTCCATGGTGGGACGGAGTGGAGTGGAGGGAACCTTGGAAACTCAGGGGTTTAATTCCACGCAAATAAGTGCCACTCATTTACCCATACCAGCCTCAAAAATTCCTTTTCTTGTGACATCGCAAGAAGCCCACTTCCACCAGCATCCAGTGCGAACATGGAGGGCACCCTACCAAAAATAACAGTATAGGGTCATTTTTGAATTAAGAATATTTATAATAGCTAGTATGTTGAACAGGGCACAGCTCGTGAAGTTACCAAAATGCAACTTTTGTTTTGTCTCTCACATCCCTTTGTATTTGACTAGAGGCCCGGTGCAAGATTGGGCCGGGGAGGGACCGCAGGAGGGCTCCAGAACGTGTCCGGCCCTTCTCACCCAGTCCTGATTGGCCAGACCCCAGCAGCAAGCTAACCTACCTGTTGGAGCGCCTGCCCCTGGTGGTCAGTGCGCGTCATAGCGACTGGTTGAACGGTCGAACAGTCGGACACTTCGCATATTAGGCTTTTATTATATAGGATTAGGCAGCAGGAGGAGGTGCAGTCTTTTCCTTTACCCTCAATAAAACCCCCCTTCGTCTTTTCTGTCACTCTCCAGTAATTTTTTTTAGCTGCCTCATAGTTATTTCTAGTCATGAACATGACCTTAATTTGGTAATGGGAATAGCCAGTCATGTATATTAATCAAAACTCCAAATGTAATTTAGCATTAAATCTCTTATCCTTTCTGGAGTCTTACTTAGCAGGCTAGTACCTGTGGTCTCCGAAAGGAATATTGGTTGTTTCCTCCTCCCATTTTCTTCCCCAGCTTGTAGAGATGGTACTTTATTCTCTTGGGTCAGGCCTAGGAGAAGAGCAAATTGGGGACAAGAACACTGTGTAGGTGTCTGATGTTGGGGCCTTCTGGATGGCAGATGTTTAAAGATGATTTTCTAGGAAATCATCCTGGATTCCTCCAAGGCTCCCATTCTTGGGGATGTTTCTTCAGGGCAAATGTATACGTCATTTGGGCAGTTGCTTTGCCCCTTTGTGGGACTCATCATTCCATCCCCATCTTCCTTTATGCTAAGCTCTCATCACCCAATGAATAGCCCTATTGAACATGATTTAAAATGATCCCATGCTGCCCTACCTGGTTTGGCTCAGTGGGTAGAGCGTCGGCCTGTGGATTGAAGGGTTCCAGGCTGGATTCCAGTCAAGGGCACATGCCCTGATTATGGGCTCCATCCCCAGTAGGGGGCGTGCAGGAGGCAGCCTGATTCTTTCTCATTATTGATGTTTCTATCTCTTCCTCTCCCTCTCCCTTCCTCTTCTGAAATCAATAAAATGTATTTTTAAAAAAATTCTTGCACTAACCGGTTTGGCTCAGTGGATAGAGCATCAGCCTGCGGACTCAAGGGTCCCAGGTTCGATTCCGGTCAAGGGCATGTACCTTGGTTGCGGGCACATACCCAGTGGGGAGTGTGCAGGAGGCAGCTGATTGATGTTTCTCTCTCATCGATGTTTCTAACTCTCTATCCTTCTCCCTTCCTCTCTGTAAAAAAATCAATAAAATATATTTTAAAAAAATTCTTGCGGCACACCAGTTGAAAATTGCTGACTTAGACAATAAATCCCATTATAGTTTAAGCCAGTTTTCATTGAGTTTAAACAAAATAATAAATAAAATAAAATAAAATGATCCCATGCTGGCTTATCTCTTGGATGTGGCTCCATGCTTGTATGAAATTCTTGTGCATTCTTTGTCTTGTCATTAGGGGGAGCACAGTTACACCCAAATGCAGCTCTCTTCTTTTTTGTCTGTTGGTCTTGTCTTTTTACTCTTGCTCCCAGCCACTGCATCTTTCTCAGTCTTGAATCAAGCAGAATCAGTCTAGAGTTGCTGGAAACACATACCAAGCTCCTTAAATGGTCTTGCTGAAGTCCATTCCTGCTAGGTTGAGAAGAAAGGGAAGAAATGATAGTACTCTTCCCCCATCCATCCCACCTTCTTGAAAGAGAGAGAAGGGTTGGGTTACAGTACTTCCTCTAAAGAAATCCTTTATTAATCTTCCTTTTTCCACCTTCTCAGTTCTTTTTAAAAAATATTCTTGAAGTGCTTGAGGGAGTTCCAGAGTTGTGTAGGATTTATAACTACGTATTTCCTTTGTAAATTCTGCAAATAATGATCTTCTCACACACATTTTGGAATCTGGTATTTGTCATCTGTTTTTTTTGGTACCTCAGTCAAAAAGAGCCCTCTTTTAACTTTTTGGCAGAATATTTTCTATGGATGGATGGTTTCACTTAGGGGAAATTAAAACAAACAGTGGTGCAACATTTGTCAAAATTTAAAAACTGCAGAAGTAATCTGGGTTGTCTGTTTTTGTTTCATTTTGGTAATATATTTAGGTTAAATGAGATGAGTTGGTTGCAGCATTCAGTCTGAGGCTTAGTATCAAGTGAACTATACAGCTTCAGAGATTCATGTGCCGTTCTTCCTGAAGATTATAATTACTCTTTGTTACAACTTATTTCTGTTGTCTCGTTCAGGTTTTATATTTTCTGTAGTTCTTTCTTCTATTTTCTGTGCTGTACATTGGATAGGTCACTTTTCTCATTGTTTTTTAGGCATATTGACTCTTATTATGGTGATTGCCTGTAACTTATGACACTTATTCTCTTAGTTTAACCTTCCCTTCCCTCCAAGACACCAACAGAGCAGTTCTTGGCACAACTTGGTGGGAGTAATTTATCTGGGAAGTGATCCCAGGAAGTAGAAATAAAGAGACTAGGGAAAGCAGGAGAAAAACTTGTAAAGGGTGTATTAATGAGCTAATTATAACTGTAGGCAATGAGGGATCCCTGTGAAGAACCATAGGCACACCTCAGGATGGCTCTACCAACATGAAGATCAGGTATTTATCCCATCCCCCATAACTTGAAGCTTCTCCCAGAGGCATCAATTCCACAAACCCAGGGGCCCTCTGAAGCATCAGAAAGCACCTGAGGCAGGAAAGCAGAGAGCACCTGCAGCATGTGCTTGAGGTAGGGGACTAGCAACAGGCGGGAACTGTCTCCACAGCTGCAGTGGCACCTGGGGCTGAGGGGGTGCAGGTACTCCAGTGTCTAGTGCAGAAAATGTTTATTTACCTCCCTTGATTACTTAAACATGTCACCATCACATTTCCTCCTCTTCAGACAGGCACTTCAGCACATTCCGCATTCCTTTGATCTCTCCCACTCAGCACCCCACTAAGTAATTTGGGGTTGTTATGAATACACTTTTTCTTTTATCCTTTTTTAAATTTATTTATCTATTTATTTATTTATTTCATTGTTTAAAGTATTACATATATCTCCTTTTTCCTGGATTGATGTCCCACCCCGCCACTCCTGCCCCCCAAGACAAGCCCCCACCGCCCCAGTGTCCGTGTCCATTGCTTATGAATATGCATGCATACAAGTCCTTTGGTTGATCTCTTACCCCCCGCCCCCTTTTATCCTTTATTTTATTTTATTTTTTTAAGTATTTTTCTTTAAGTGTACCTGGGAATACCTATTGGACCCTCAAATTAAATGACAATTGAATAGATAGAAAATTCTTGGTTTCAAACTAACAAATAGAGTTTTATAATAAAACTTAGTTAAATCAAAGTTAAAGTGTGAATAAATAATGTTTTTATTTGTAGTTTAAGTAAAATTTAGAGTTCAAGTAAATATAAATTTATTTACCAATATCCTCATCAATTTTATTCCTTCAATTTTGACAAAGTCTCAGGGTCTATCTGCCTGTTTCCCCCTTACAAATCGTGTAATTAATTTAATCTTTGGTTTTAAACCTGTCTGGAGTAGAGATTTTCCCAGATGAAGCCTCTGTTTTTATAGTAATACTGAACTGCCAGTTTTCTCTTTCCTCATATGCTTGTTTTCTTTCTACTGTATTTCCTCTGGCAATAAACAAATTGTTTTTGGCCTTAGAGTGTCTTAGGTAGCCCAGTACGTATGTTTGAGTCTTAGTAGGAAACTTATACCTGAGGAATCTGGAAGGAAGGTGTAACAATTAGAAAACATGCCTCGATTCCAGGAAATCCTCTTGGCCCAGGACAATTTTTCTTGTGGTCTACATATCTGCTTTTTGTCACTGTGCCGCCTGATTCAACAACTAATAATTTGTAAAAGAGTTTCTTCCAGAAGGTTTCTGCTTATATTTAATTTTAGATGTAATCAACTTAATGTGATAGTTGATAGATAAAATATTGCCAATGAGTATAGTATGGGAATTATATAGTTAAACAGGGTAAAAAACTAAATTAAACCATTTCCCTTTCTTACTGTATATATTTTTTTCTTGACCCTGGTTTGTAAGTGATATTTGTTAACATCATTGGTATTCTGCTACCAACATGAGATAATAACAGATTTTTAGAAAAGTAAATAGAATTATGATTTTTTTCATAGATTTTTCTTAAATCTATACTGAAAGAAATGACAAGTATTAATAGGAAGAACTTGGCAACAGCCCATCATTCATGTTTAGTTTACCATTCTCTGTAGCTCTTATAATGTAATTAAATGTATTAATATTTCATGGTGTTCCCCCCCAAAAAAAGTTTATAATTTTGAGAGAACTTTGACACTTATACAAGTTTGAGAACCACTGTTCTTGGTAAAAATTGGTTCTTTGAATTAGAAAATAGAGTTTATATTTTAAAAAATAAGCAGAGTGCTGAAAGATAAGTTCACCAGTTATTTACATGAAAAACTGTTTGTAGGTAAAAGTTGCCCTCACCCTTCACAGGATTGTTAAATTAATTTAAATAATATGTTTATTTTGTGACCTTACAGGAGCCCAGGCTTGTGTGCTTGTATTTTCTACCACAGACAGGGAATCTTTTGAAGCAATTTCCAGTTGGAGAGAGAAAGTAGTAGCTGAAGTTGGAGATATACCAACTGTGCTTGTACAAAACAAGATTGATCTCTTGGATGATTCTTGTATAAAGAAGTAAGATGGCAATTTTTGAGGGGGTGGCGATAATTCTATAAAGTTAAAAACTATTTTAATTTTTGTATAAACTTACAAAATTTAGGGACGTTTATATAAAGAATGCTTTATATTTAAAATTTCTGTGAGCTGTTCTATGTGATTGATTTGTTTTTAAAAAAGTTCTTAACTGAATCATAAGTAGAGAAAATTAAAGGGTTAAATTTTGAAGCTCCTTTTAGAATTCTAGGCTTAGGTCTTTGCACCACAAATCCAGTTCTTCGTTTTAAGTCAAATGTAGATCTAGTGATAATGCTAAAGAAAACATTTAAAAATATTTAAACAAATGAAAGATGCTTTAATAAAGAGTAAGTAGATAGATAGCCTATGTTGATGAGTTTCATATTGTTTTGTATTTTCAGAACTATTATGCTCAAATTTGTGAATGGAGTTTAGCATCCAGCTAATTTTTTTCTATAAGTATTTGCTCATTGTATTATTAAAGTTTTGCTTATGTGTTCTTATGTTATCTGTTGCTATATAACAGATTAGTCTAACTTAGTGGCTTACAACAACCAACAGTTATTATTTCTGTTTCTATAGGTCAGGAATTTGGGATAGCTTGAGGGTTGTTCTGGTTCAGAGTTTTCCATGAGGTTGAGGCAAGATATTGGCTAGGCCAATAGTCACACAAAGGCTTGACTGGGGCTGGAGGACCTGTTTCCAGGATGGTTCACTCAGCTGGCCATTGGCAGGGGCTTAGCTCCTTGCCACGTGGATCTTCCTCTCTAGGGCTGCTTGAGTGTTCTTACAACAAAGCAGCTGGCTTCCCACAGCCGGCAAGCCAAGAGAGAGCAAAGCAGAAGCCACATGTCTCTTAGGACTTCGCCTCAGGAGTTACATACTATCGCTTCTCTATGTTATTGATCCCATTGACCAACCTTGACTACAGTGTAGGACAGTGATGGCGAACCTATGACATGCGTGTCAGAGTGACACGTGAACTCATTTTTTTTTTGGTTGATTTTTCTTTGTTAAATGGCATTTAAATATATAAAATAAATATCAAAAATATAAGTCTTTGTTTTACTATGGTTGCAAATATCAAAAAATTTCTATATGTGACACGGCACCAGAGTTAAGTTAGGGTTTTTCAAAATGCTGACACACCGAGCTCAAAAGGTTCGCCATCACTGGTGTAGGAGGAGACTACACAAGGGTATGAAGACCAGGAGCGTGGGGAGATGGGATGGAATCATTGGGAACCATTTTGGAGCTTAGCTACTATAGTCTTAATAAAATCAGGAGTCCACCATCAGGAGTCATCATAAAACTAAAGTTAGGAGTCCACTCTTGTAGAGACAGCCTTACTATACTGTTGACTTTGACTTTGGCAGCAAAGTAGTTTCATAGCCAGTAAGAGTAAAATAAGTACTGCACTATGTGATTCTCAGAGTGTAATTAAATTCAAATGTTTTTTAAAACAGGAGAGAATATTAAAGTGTTATATAAAGAAAAGCGATATTTTGCTATTTTAAGGCTAGAGTTTAGTGACTTTATGGAAAAGTGTTTGATTACAGTTACAGTATCATGGTTGGTGTTTATCAGCTCCCACGAGTAGTGAAAACAAAACCCTGTTCAAGCTGAGAACACAGCTTTAACTGGTCTGGAACATCTGACACCACCCTCCCCCAAGCTGTATCAATAAATGTTATAAAAGTGATTTTTTAAAAAACAAGCGATCAGAAAGTATCTCCATAAGCACTTTTCCCTCCCATTGATACAGCGAGGAAGCTGAAGCACTGGCCAAAAAGCTAAAGCTAAGATTCTACAGAACGTCGGTGAAGGAAGACCTCAATGTGAATGAAGGTAAACTGCCGTTTTAAACATTTAACAGGAAATCTGTTTTACTCTTCTTAGTTTTCTATTGTGTTGTTTAGAAGACATTTATGATGAGAATAGAACTTTATTGTCACCTATCATTAAGAAAAAAATTAAAGCATGATGCTTCTTTGAGTTAGAGTTTTTAATTATTCACTGATGTCTTGGAATACTTGGCACTCTACAGCAAAACTCTGCTGGGTGTTTGTTTTGTTGTTTATCTTTAAAAATATAACTATATGTGTGAGTGTCTATGCATGTATGTGTTTTTCATGCATACCTTTTAAAATTACTGAATTGTTTTAGAACTCCACAGTAGGTGGATATTCCAGTAGGTAGTTACAATAGCCTTAAATTAATAGTATTTCCTAGTTTAAGAAAGTAATATTAGAGAAAGAGGATGGTTATTTTTCTCATTCCAGAATTGCTACTTATTATATTAGATAGCAACTGGATTGTTGCCTAGGTGTCTTTCTGGGTAGGTATTTTTTTCACCTAAAGAAATGAGACATCTTTTTAAGACTAAGTCATTTAGTGTTGCTGAATATTAATCACTATTCAAGTACTGAAAACTAAAGAGCCAATGATTACAAATACTATTTCATTTCTTTACTAATAAAATGCCACTATCTGTTTATTAGTATTGCCATTCATTGTACATAGGTATTGCTGAAATAAATTTACAAGTTGAATTTTTCAACTAGATTGTATATTTCTAATTTAGTTTTAAATTTGTTTAGTACATATAAATATTATAGTTAGTAATGTGCAAAAACATATTTTATCTGCATAAGTCATACTGACCTGGTAGGCTTTTTGTTCATTTTTATTCTAGTTTTTAAATATTTGGCTGAAAAGTATCTTCAAAAACTGAAACAACAAGTAGCTGAGGATCCAGAATTAAGGCATTCAAGTAGTAACAAAATTGGTAAGTACCCAGGACATTTTAGACCCATGTTTACCTGGTGAATTTATTTCCCATTAATTATTATCTTATTTACTATTTTTTCATACAGTGTGCTCAGTTGTTTAAGAAATGTGATTAGAATGTGTTAGATCAGTGATTATTACATTTAGTAGTATCAGGTCTCTTATTAAAGGTATATTGATTCTCATTATGTAACATTAAATACAGGCTCTCTTCATCCCAATATTTAAAGACAGTTTTGTCCATCCTTCCTGTGCGACTTCATGCCCCACTTTTATGTATGTACCCCTTTTACCAGTTCCACCAGAGGTCTTGCTCTTTCTTGAACATGCCCAGGGCTGTCTTACTTTTCACTTTTGCTCATTTTGACTCTTCTATCAAGAATAACCTCCCTTTCCCATCTCTGTCAAAGAACTTTTTTTTTTTTTTAATCCTCACCCGGAGATATTTTTTTCCATTGATTTTTAGAGTGGAAGGGAGAGGAAGAGACAGAGAGAAACACCAATGTGAGAGAGACACATCAATTGGTTGCCTCCGGCATGCCCCCAACCAGAGCCAGGAGCCTGCAACCCAAGGTATGTGCCCTTGACTGGAATCGAACCCAGGACCGTTCAGTCTGCAGGCCTACTCTCTATCCACTGAGCCAAACCAGCTAGGGCTGTCAAAGCACTATTTATTCCTCATGGACTATCTAGAAAGCTCGCTCGGCTATGTAATTGGCCTCATGCTTTTCCTTTAAGTGAACAAAGATCTAAGTCCAGGACATTGCCAGGTGTCCAGTTCCACCTGCTTCCTATAATTCCTCCTTCCTAATAAATTAGATGTCACTCATCCTGTCTTTGAACCATTTATGGGATCTTGTGTCTCTTTTATGGCACTTAACATGTAATGTCTTATACATATATCATTATTTCTTTGTATACTAACTCACCTCATTTATTAGATTGTAAACTTCTTTTTTTCTCTTTTAAAGATTGTAAACGTCTTGTGGGCAGGAATTGCTCGCAGTCACCTTTGTGTTGTTGATAGTGTCTCTGGCCCATAGTTCTGTGTATCAAGGATGATAAATAGTTCAGAAAGACCAGCACAGTTCAAAACAGAACCTATAATAGTTAAACTTTTTTAAAAAATTTATCTTTTTTATCTACTCATGACTTTAATTATCTGTAGACCATTTTGTTAGTTTAGCCTCGATAGGAAAATCTTACATTACTACCAGCTTTTACATAGGTAATGTTTTGATTAACATAAAATATCACAAATACTGTTAACTACGTCAGGTATTCTTAAGGAAGTTATCTGATATAAAGTTAATAAGTGAAATTATTATAATTATTTTATTTACTGATTCCATATTTCAAAAATAGTGAAAAGATGCAGAATAATGTGTAGAATATGTCACCATTTGAGTAGCAGAGGGAGGGAAAAAGAATATATATATGTATTTTTGCCTATATATGCATAAAATATCTCTGGAAGGATACATAGGAAAATTGATAAAACATGCTTGCCTTAGGGGAATAAAACTGGGGTGGTGGGAGGAGACTTCATTGTGAACCCTTTTGTACCCTTTGAAATTTGAACCATATGTATTTCTATTAAAAATAAATGAAATGAAAAGAAAGGCTTAAAGTTGTAAATACTTGGAAATATTACTGATTCACTAAGAAGCTGGATGCAGTCTTCAGTAGGTCATCCTGAGACATGTCAGTGTCAACCTCTGTGTCCCCCTTCAATTTATTCCAGGTGTCTTCAACACATCTGGTGGAAGTCACTCGGGTCAGAGTGCAAGTACCCTTAATGGTGGAGATGTCATCAATCTTAGACCCAACAAACAGAGGACCAAGAAGAGCAGAAATCCTTTTAGCAGCTGTAGCATACCCTAAAATGTTGTAGGCAGGAAAAAAATTGTGCAATTCAGTGAGAACTACATCCAGCTGTCATGGTATGTTACAAGTTTTTGAGCAGATTTTGCACCTAATGCTTTGAAAGTTGGCAGACTTAAATATTGATCTGCAGTGATTTTCAGAATGGAGTGAGATCTTTGGAGGAAAAATTACTGCCCTGTGGACTCATTTTAATTTTTTTTACATTAGACGAAGCTTCTCCTGTTTTTGAAGGAATGCTGTAAGAAATGTCAAAAACAGGTTTTGCTGAATTTTAAATGCTGGAAAACATAAATGAAATGCCTAAATATATTGGTACAGATTGTAATATTATGGGTCAAGAAAAGATAGCATTCTTTTTCTGAAATTAGTCATCTAGCTTTTCTGGGAAATAGTATTGAATCCAAGTACTTACAAAAAATAATAAAGAAAGGTAGACCCTAAGTTTTGTGAGACTGCATTAGTATGTACTTGGGCAATGTTACTGTGCAATATCTGTACCAGGTGGGGTGTGGAGGTATGCATGCAGGTACTTGGTATTGAAGTAAATTGAAGGTGTGTGCAGTGTTTAAGGAAACAGAATCTAATTCATTCATTCATAGAATCATTTACACATTGTGTGTATGTTAAAAGTTTTTATTTTCAAATAAGAAATTTCAGACATATATTTTGCAAAAGAGCTGGGATTTAAGTAGTGTTTTGTGCCAAAAAGTATATCTAATTTTTACAGTGCTTTACTATCAGAATTTATATTGTTTATAATATCTTTTAAAAGCAGTTTTCCTCTCTGATGGGGTAGATAAAAGAGGAGTTTAAATGTTTTAGTGCTAGATCATCTCTCAGGTGAGACTTGTTGCAAAACTTTTCACATGTCCCTCATAAGCATAGCGAGCTTGTGCTGGCCAAGTCCTGGAGCAGACACAGCACGTCTGCGGTTACTCCTTAGGCCTGGGAAGCACACTGATGCTTCCGGCGCCTTTGCTGCTGATTGAAAACACAATTTTGAACTTCTAGGATTATGCTAACAATTTTTAAAAATGCACAAGGTGATCTTTTATTGTAATCCACATTATGGATTTTATAATGCCCTGCAACTGTAAAGCATCTTTTTGTTTACACATTTTTGTATGGTATTTTAACATTATCGCTTAAAAATTTCTATAACCTTTAATTTGTACAGTGCTTTCTCAAGACCTCTGTCAGGAACAAATATAAAATAATTTCTTTTAAGAAATGATTTTAATATGTAATCATGTGGCAGAGCATAAATTTTGTGACTTGGGACAGTAGCTTTCCAGCTAAGATAATTGCATGAACTCTGTTAAAACTATCATTTATCAATGTTTTTGTTTTTAACCCTTTGCAATATACCTTGTTTTTACAGGATTTCAAAATGTGTAAAAATAACTTCTTGAAAAATGTGCGAACAAGTTCTTTTTCATTATTTGTAAATGCATAATGTTTTATATATTTCTCTTGTATCTTTTCTCTCTTTTTTCCCCCCCTAAGTCTTCCATCTGTGCCACTCTCATCCCCCATCCAGATTAATGTTGACAACCTAATAGAATTTTCTGGGGCGTGTCTTTGTTAAGTGGTCAAGAGTGAATGTTTGCTTTTCAGAATATTGAAATAATCTGGCATTATGTATTTCAAAGTAACATATAAAATGTTATTTTTATGTCACCAGTTGTCACCACTCCCATTGCTGGCAGTGGGATAGATGTTGGGAAAAACTCAGTTCCTATCAATGGGTACCTGCTAGTGATTCATCTTTCCTTTTCTACTCTCTTGAAATATAGTCTCTTTAATTTTTGCACAAAATATATTTTGCATCAAATAGTCTTACGGTTTTTAGTATCAGAAAAATCACATTATGTAATATGTTGTAGTTGTATTTCATATTAATTAAATGTGTGTTGGTAAAAGTTTGTTACTGTTCCATATAAAAAATGTAATCTCTGATGGTTGCAGTTCCCCTGATATTTGTAATATAATTTTGTGTACTTATTTTCTTTTTTTTTTTTTGCAAGAACCAAAGAGAAATCTGTTACACATTTGAGTTTTTAATTTGCACTTCTGTATTTTAAATCTAACCATAATTAATCATTATACGTTCTCAATTTAATTAATTATAAAACCTAAATTAACATTAATTTTTCCCCCCGAGGCCCTTAATTCCTTTAAATAACTTTACTCTTAGTGTCTAACGAACCATGGTTGCTGAAGAAAACTTGTGTAAGCCTCCAGGAGGTTGTGCATTTGTGCTCTAATGTATTTTTTACATTATGGCTAATGTTTAGCATTCAGACATATAGCTCTGTAATAACTGCCGCCTATTGAATTAAATAGCACACAGAATAGCACATATAAGGCAATATCTATAATAATAGAAGCATAATATGCTAATTAGACCTTCCCTACCAGGGAAGCCTGGGTCCTGGGTGCCTGCTGGTGGCTGGAGAGAAGCCCGGGTCCTGGTTGCCAGAGGGAAGCCGGTGCCGGCAGCCGGGGGAAGGAAGGCCTACTCTTGCACGAATTTTGTGCATAAGGCCTCTAGTAGTTAAATAAAACCAGGCGAAATGGTTTTCTTTTCATCTGCCCAAAGTTGATAACCCATATAAACTTTTTAAAAATAAAGTAAAAGTGACACTACCAAAAAGAGGATGGACACCTCTCTGTGGAGTGAAGTTAGATGGTTGTTTCAGAAGTTGACAACTCAGTGCAGAAAGAACACTCATTAATGCACCCTCTGAGCCTGTGACTGTTAGGGACTGGAGTCTATTCTGAAGATCTCAGAACGAGGAGTTGGCTTCAGGACCTAACGTCCCAGCTTATAGTGAACTGTTTTAATGTAAAATATTAATTGAGAGCATCCTTTTCAAAACCTCTGAAATAGTTAACTGGTAATTTGCTGAAGTGCTCCCATTACTGGAGAATCTGTTTCTCTGAAAACAAAGTGAATTATAAAGATTTCCCACATTGCACAGTTAATCTAATGAACAGGTAGATTTATTCAGTTTTAACTACTAGTTACGAACATGTGTACTGTTATCACTCTTCAGGTTTTCACCCTAAAACATGTAAGCTTATCTTACTAGTGAATCTGTTTGCTAACAAACTATTTAAAACCACAGTGGACTCTGGAATATCCAATTACCTAATTCCCAGGTAACTGGATGGATTAGCTGTAATAACTTTTATTAGTATTCCTTTTCTTCTCTCTCTTGAAATATCTATAATAGGATGCTGGTAGATGGTCTTAAAAAACTTTGGATTAAAAGGAAATCTCAACCCCTTCTATATTTTTGTTACTACTAAATAATGCTTTTGTAAATTTGAATGAAAAACCACTTGTATGTATTACTATTGGGTTGCAGTTATGCACGTGAGCTTAATTTAAAATATACTACTTAATAAAAATTTCATGAAAGATTAATTCCAATCATCAAAAAATAAATGCATTTCAACGCCTGAATTTTGTTTGATATGTGTCACCAGTGTGGAACCAAATAGTAAAAGGTATAATATGACTTCTTTAAAAATCAAAACAACTTAAAAATATTTCATATTTCAGATACTCACTCTGCCAATATTTAGCATACTCATTTTATTGATAGTACATATTTAGTGCAATTTAGTAGCACTGTGGTTTAAGTAATTTTGCCTTGGAAACTAAATTTCTTTTTTATTTCTATCAGTATCAGTCTGTTTAAAGAAGTCATTTCCTTGTGCTTTGAGCATCTCTCACCAGCCCCTCTCCCTCCCCGCCACCCCCTGCCAAAAAATATATTTACTTTGCCCTGTGGTACAAAATATAGTTCAAATTTATTTAACAAGTGCTTTCTGTTAGCCACCATGCTAAACTCCTTGCATGCTGTATCTCTTGAAGTTCCTAACAGGAGCATTCTCACCCCCACTTTACAGCTGGGGAGGGCAGGGATGTGCCTGGGGCTCTCTGCGGTAAGAGAAGGGGTGGGAGGTCTGTGCCAGGTCTCCCAGCAGCAAGGCTTATAGCCTCTGTGTTGTTTTGTCTCAGGTCTTGTATTATCTGACGGTTACATTTGGGATGTAATACTCCCTGGATCCAAATGCTAAGTCTAAGCCCAGGTTTTTCACTCTTTTCTGATTCCTTTTGTCAAATTTCCTGCACAAACTGTGCCTAATTTAACCTGTTCTGGTCACCCCGGGAATATGGCACATTAAAGCTGGACTAGACACTGAAATCGGCTCCTCACCAAACGTGTGACTGCCAAAGTGATCTGAATGCCCACTGCATGCAAAAGAGGCATATTTGCTACACTATTTAGTGGTTTGAGGTGGATAATTGAAAGATTTGTGTGGTCCAGTTCAAGCGGTTTACCCTTAGTTCATGTTGAAAACTTAAGAACGTGGCCGTGTCCCTAAGCATAAGGTCCGTTTCATTTGGCTTGCTTGTTATATGAGTAGACACACAAAAAGAGGTTCAAGCTCACTGCTGTCTTTGTCTTGCCTTTTCGGCTCTGACTTTCCATTTTTTTGAATAATTGTAAAATCCACCTTTCAAAAACAGCATTATCATGTAGACGCACTCCAAAAATAGTAGGGTTTATCACAGCCGTGTGAAAGGGACAAATGCACAGGTGTTTCCCCCTAAAAATTGTTGCATATAATTTGGTGTGCCAGACCCTTCCTCTGCTTCTTTCAATGGTTGCTAAATTCTCTCATGCTTTCCAGTTTTAAAATGTTGAAACAGAGTCGATCCCCACATTAGGGTGAGTTCTGACTCGGTACCAGACTGAGCTCCAACACAAAGGGTCCTCCCTGCCTGCACGCTGTCCCTCTGCAAAAGCCTCACTTGGCTAATGTTTCATTAAATTAAAGGGAGGACCCACCCACAAACAATACAGTGTGATGGTGCCTAGGGGATGCAACACTGGGACTGGGAGGGAAGCACAGCTGGAAGCCAGCACAGGGATTTTTTCAATGTCAGAGATTCCTACATTAAAATACCAGGAGGGGCAATTCTACCAGTTTGTCTGCCAGATTTCTAACTGGGCAGCAGTGTCACTGCCGTCAGTCAATGACCAGCACTGACTGCTCTTGTCGGCTCCTCTGCAGGTCCTGCTGGCTCACACGAGAGAAACTAGGGTGGGCATGGGAACTCTACTGGGAAGCAGCTCATGAGGGATGGCAAAGGGCTGCCCTAAAATTGTACATTACATTCTAGAAATGGTATCCGATCTCAATTATAGCCGTTAGGGAATATATCAACATGGACAAAACATATACTCAGAATTCCCTTATGTTCCAAATCTACTACCTACATAGAAGACGACAATTTAAATGAAGGTAAAAATGTGACGCTTGGGAGTTTCGTCATTTGAAAATAAGTCACACTTCCATTCTTAAAAATAAATAATCAACACACTGAGGTCACTGCCCTTTGAACGTGACTCAGGCTGGTGGCCAGCAGACCAGGGACTGACGCAGCTTGGAGATAGGTCACAGCTCTTGAGTCTGTGATAAGGAGTAGCCTCCAATAAACTTCATTGTAAAGAATGTCTGTGGTACAGTCCCGGGCTGATGTGGAGTCAGTGGAAAGGGGGAGTACTTACTTCCCCAAATAGACGGGATGTACAGATGTTGACAGTCCTTGAGAACTTGAGGAAAACTTGATCGTCTGTGTCTTAATTTTCAAAAAGCTGATAAAGAAACAGATGGCACAAAAAAGAAAATCTTTATCTGACAGTGAACCTGATAACAGCAAATTAGAATCTGCTGGCAAATCAAGAGGCTTTGCCACCATTATCAATGAGAATGAAGGTTCCCCATGAAATGGAAAGATTTAAATGAAGAGGACTTGGGGTTGGCAATCAACGCAGCCATGAATATCCTTAGATTGTAATTGCTTTTTATGAAGAGAGACTAATTGGGCATTTTTGTCCAGAAAGCAAAGCTCAGAATTGTTTTCATTGATAAATATACATTGATATAAATAAATAAATACCCGAATCTTAACTTTTTTCCAGTGTGAAAGAATATTTATGCTCTAATAAAAACTGAGTTTGAAATGTTTGTTTTGCAGCAGTAGTGGGGAAAGTTGAGGGCTTTGTATGTCAATAACACTAATAATAAGTAAAAGTATTCTATAGTTGCTTCATTTGTTACAGATAAAAGAATAATCAATACACTGGTCAACTTTGTTAGTAAAAAAAATGCAAACTAAAGATGTTTCATATCTAATGTTAGAAAAAAAATGCTTAATGCTGGAAAGCTCAGTGAAGTAGCTACATTTTAATTATTGAAGACAGTATAAATTGATAACTCTTAGACAAAGAAAAATAACTGGAATTATGTCAGGCCATGAAGATGTATATACCCTTTGACTCACTGCTGGGAATTTATAAAAAAATAAAAAACAAAAAGAATGGAAAAGCTCTATGCAGTAATGGCAACAAACTGGAAACAAGTGTCTAGTGAGGGGACTGGGTAAGTCAGAGGTTTTTAAGTTGACTATTTAAGGACTTTATAGCAGCATTTAATTATTTTTAAAAGCAAGTTACATTGTACTTACATAGTAATTAACATTTTCGAGAAATGATGCATGTGGAAAAGATTAAGTGAATATATAATTGTTCACAGTGGTAAAATCAGATGTGAATTTTTCTCATTTGCCATATTTTCTTCTTTTTTTATATATATATTTTATTGATTTTTTTACAGAGAGGAAGGGAGAGGGATAGAGAGTTAGAAACATCGATTAGTGAGAAACATCGATCAGCTGCCTCCTGCACACCCCCTACTAGGGATGTGCCCACAACCAAGGCACATGCCCTTGACTGGAATCGAACCTGGGACCCTTCAGTCCACAGGCCGACGCTCTATCCACTGAGCCAAACCGGTTAGGGCTGCCATATTTTCATGTACATCAAGAAATATATTTCTATTATGAGATGTGTAAATCTTTAAAATAATTTGACATGCATGTCTAAAAAAATTGCTGACTGAGAAAATGTAAGGAAAGGTTCTTACTGTGTAATTCCTTTTATCCCTGTAAACACACTGCTTGGCTAACAGGAAATGTGCGTGTGCTGCTGCGTAAAGCTTTCTAGTCAACCAGATGCCCCACGTGCCCGTGTGTCTCCACACCAGACAAAGCCCCAGTAAGAACAGTGGTTCTTTTACCCCTAGCTGAGCACGTACTGTACTTCCCCCACATACAAAACATTCATCCACAGAATAGTAAAAAATACATATATATATGGTGCTAGTTCCTAGTACAAGACAATAATTCCATCTAAAAACTTACAGGGAGATAATTAAAATATTTCTACTTTTAATTGTTATTCATAAAACTGTTGACACTGGAATATTTTCATCTTCTTTATCAAATGAGTGGTTATGCCTAATATAAAGAACTAGTTATCACTTAAGATAGCATGTTATCATTTTCACATCATTGCTCTCAGGTTTGGAAACTAATTAAATCTGCTGTCAGCATTCTGTTGCAGAGCTAGGGAGCCCGCTCCTTTAGAATGCTCGAGCAGCTTGATGGCCTTGTCGGAGCTTTCAATATTTCTAAGCAGAGTCTCCAAGCGTCTCTTAATTTTCTTCTGATCTTCAAGTGCACAGCCAATGACTATGGATTGAAACTTCTGATCAACTGGCCCAGGCGGCACCTCAGACGAACACGCACTGTACAGCGACATCAAGTGACTCTTGGCATTTCCCAAATCATTCAGAAACTTACTGACCACCTCATCGATAATCCTGGTGGCGTGCTTTAGGGATTCCTGCTGCTGAGGGTTTCTAATGGTTTCCACTGAAACTTCAACAGTGAGGGTTCGTCCCATCAGACGGTTTGCGGTCAGATTTAATTCTTCTCTTTCTCCTAAACATAAAAAGTTTGAAATGCCAATCACTGTGAGTCATAAACTCATCTATGTTGAGGGGTTCAGAACAGGCTTCTCCACAATGTGCTACATTGGCATAGGGATTATTTTGAGCTGAAGGCGATGGAGACCCTGAGGGTTCATGAGAAACCCTTACCTCTCCCTTAAAGAATTTAAATTAGGGGGTTTGCTCATGGTAAGAATTCTTGCCAGAGATAATTTTTATGACCTATCCACAGGGCAGGGCAAACTTCTAATAACTGAGCATCTCTTTATTGTCCTGAAAATCTCCCTCTCCCCTCTGCAGCCCCAGACGCCGTATCTCATACCTTAGCTCACATTGTCGAGTATACCTCACTTTACCTTTCTACCTCTACCTCTCATGTATGGGGCGTGTCTCTGAGTCTCTCATGTATGTGGGGTTCCCATATGAACGTATGTAATTAAATTTGGTTATTTTTCCATTGTTAATCTGTCTCCTGTTGATTTAATTACTAGTCCAGCCGAGAGGATCTAAAAAGGTAAAGAAAAATTTCTTCCTACTCCAACAATGTCAAGGACACTAACACATTTATTTGTGGCTAAATCTATTTTCTGTGGTCACCTCTGCTATGAATTTCCTAAGGGTTAAAGTTAAAACTGTAGCATATAAGATTAACTGATAAAGTGCATTGGTTTAGAGAGGGAGGTTGAAGAATACCTTTCCCTGGCCCAGCCAGTGTGGCTCAGTGGTGAGCATCGACCTATGAACCTGGAGGTCACGGTTTGATTCCCGGTCAGGACATATGCCTGGGTTGTGGGCTTGATCCCCAGTGTGGGGCATGCAGGAGGCAGCCGATCAATGATTCTCCCTCATCATTGATGTTCTTATCTCTCTCCCTCTCCCTCTCTCTTCCTCTCTGAAATCAAAAAAATAAAAAGAATCCCTTTCCATGAAAGTCTGTATACATGGAATACCAGATGACTTCTCAAGCGGTCATGTTTGCCAAGTCAGGGCAGGTATGCGTTTGTAGCTGGGATGGAGATCAGGTCTTAACACCGTGTGAACAGTGAGCATAACTAGGTTTTATGCCGGTTAAGGCTGCAGAGAGCAGATGTCCTGTGTCTCTCCAAAGGATGTGCATGTAGGGGAGGAAAAATAATTGTCACTCTATCTTTCTGAGTTCTTGTCTGAGAATAAAAGATTAACAAGGACAAAAATATAAAAGCTTATTAACATGTATAACTCACATATACATGGAAAACTGAGTAACTCTCCGAGATGGCTCAGCCACCACCTTAAATACCATCTTCAGCTGAAGACAAAAGATGTTGGGGAGGGAAGGAAGCCAGTTATGGGAGGTGACCAGGAAAAGCACGGTAAAGAGAATAAGATTTAACTACAGTGAGCACCTTCTCCATTGATAAAAGTCCTGTGACTCACAGTCCCCTCCTGGCACAGAGAGGGAGACACCCTCACATGTGGAAAGTTGCTCTATAAATGTAAACTTCTCTTACAAAAGGGTAACTTCTCTGTTTCCAGAGCTTCTCTTGCGTCTGCAGTTTCTCAAAAATAATCAGCTCAAAATATCCTTGTGCCAAAGCGGCATATTTTGGGGTGGCATATTCTGCATGTTTATCAGAATACAATGCCCCAATTTGGGCTGAGAAAAAAAAACACATGAAAGTGGTGAAAAGCTGGCTGAAAATTAGGCCTCAACTTCACCCCCTCAAGACAAATTTAAGACGCCCAGTGGTCTAAGTCTCAGCCAGCACCCAGAAGCAATGATGGGAAAAGGGATTCTGTCAACACCTTATTATTTATATGAAAAAGTCAGCAATCCCCTACGTCCTTTCTAATTCATTGACCTTTGGAGGGAAGTTCTGTGACTTCCTAATTCGTTGATCTTTGGCCAGGATGGCGAAGAGATCCGACCCCATTGTGGACTCTGGAGGTAGACTGCTCTCGTACTGCACAGCTACCTGGCCCACTAGCTTGTTCTGTGAAGGAAGCACCAAATTAGGAAGGTCATCACCAGCAAACACAAATCACAGCTGACCTGTTCCTCCAGGGCAGTCATGCTTTTCATATGAAAATGATGGCACGTTTTTTACATTAATGGGGTTTTATTGGGCTTGTAGTTTATTTTCTTGCATTTTCTCCCTTCCCATCTCACCTTTTCCCTATGCTTTTTTTTTATAAGGTTACTTTTTTAAAAAAAATGTATTTTGTTGATTTTTTACAGAGAGGAAGGGAGAGGGACAGTTAGAAACATCGATGAGAGAGAAACATTGATCAGCTGCCTCCTGCACACCCCCTACTGGGGATGTGCCCACAACCAAGGTACATGCCCTTGACCGGAATCGAACCTGGGACCCTTCAGTCCGCAGGCCGACGCTCTAGCCACTGAGCCAAAGTGGTTAGGACTTCCCTATGCTTTTTAAAAAGATACGTTTTTATTGATTTCAGAAATGGAAGGAAGAGGGAGAGAGAGATAGAAACATCAATGATGAGAGAGAATCATTGATTGGCTGCCTCCTGCACACCCCACACTGGGGATCGAGCCCGAAACCCTATGCCCTGACCAGGAATTGAACCGTGACCTCCTGGTTCATAGGTCGACACTCAATCACTGAGCCACTCCAGCCAGGCTCCCTCTGCTTTTAATTCTACATTCCAGTAACTTCGATAGAACTTAAGTTCTATACTTGGCCTTATTGCTTGGAGCCAGCTTTTCTGCCAAAGGAGCTTGGAGGCCTTTTTCCATCACGTCTGGCCTCGGCCTGGGCTGGGGAGTATAGTGGGAGAATGATCTCTTGTAATAAACTGACAGCTGCAGCTGCTGCCTGCTGCTCACACTGAATGCTGAAACCGGGTGTGCTCATACCACAAGTCAAGCAAAAACTGACCCACGCTTATCACAAACCCCACAGAGGGTGTAAAAGACGAGCCCCCGTCCATGGAACCAGCTCTCACCATCGCTGATCTGCCTCATGTCCTGGCTGTTCTGGATACTGTGGATCATTTCCAGGAGGATTTCTCTCTCTTGCTCAATGGCAGTTGCTGCTTCTCTTAAAGCTTCCACCCTATAAATAGAGAAACACAGCAGTTACTACATGGACAATCAGTGGTCCTCACCCTTCCCTCATTCAATTCAAGTTTAAAGATCATTAGGAAGACTTCAAGACGCCGTTATTCCTTTTATTTTTTATCCTTTCATTTTTATGTTCTTTTTAAATCCACTTACCCCACTCCCATTTCCCTCCCTGCTCTACTTAGTGGTTATCTGTTTGTTCTTGCAAAAATATGTATTTGTGTATTCATGTTTTCAATTTATATATCACGCTCAGCATTATTTTATTAAGAACCATCTAATCAGTAGCTTCTAAATGTTGCCCAATTCTCCACATGTATATCCACCTGATTTTACCTCCCAGTAGAGACACTCCCCCTGTCCTTCAGCTATTCGCCACCACAAACAACACTTCAATGAATACATGCCCCTTAAGAACCTGCGTGAGGGCAGAACTGCTGAGACAAAGGGTGTGTGTACCTTCATTTGACTCAGTACGAGGACTGCTCTCCAGAATGCTATACCAGGTCATACTCCTGGCAGCAAAGCACAGCAGTCCCTGTATCCCCACAACCCTACCAATACTCAGCATTTTCCAATTTTCTAACTATTGACAGTAAGTGTAGTGATATCTCAATACTTAATTTGCATTTATTTCATTAATAATTTCAGACATCTCTTTGTATCCTTGTTAGCCTATTCATAGCCTTTGCCTGTTTTCTTTTTTAAACAGGGATTGCTGTCCTCTTGTTGATTTGCATACTCAAGATGCGAATCCCTTGTTGGTGACAGATAATGCAACCATCTTCTCCCAGCCTATCATAATATATTAACGCTGGGATACCCTTCACTGAACAGAGATTCTTATTTTGAAATGATCAAGTTCATCTTTTCCTGGTTTTGTTTTGCCTTATGATTTATGCTTCTGAAATTTTTTTTCAGGGTCTCCCCCATCCCTAGGTTATAAGATGTTGGCCTACATTTCCTTCTATTAACTCTATCATTTTACCTTTATCCTATTTATATCTTTTCCTTTTTTAAAAATCCTCACCCGAGGACATGTTTATTGATTTTTAGAGATGGAAGAAAAGAGGAGGGAGGGAGGGAGGGAGGAGGGAGGGCAAGAGGGGAGGGAAGAGGGGGGAGAGAGAGAGAGAGAGAGAGAGAGAGAGAGAGAGAGAAGCATTGAGCAGCTGCCTCCCATATGCGCCATAACGGGGAATGGAACCCACACCTAATCTTTTGGTGTATCAGATGATGCTCCAACTGAGCCACTGGCCGGGGCTCCTATTTACATCTTAACCCATCTAGAACCCACCGTTCTATGTAGTTAGGTAAGGATATTGTTTTATTTTTCTCCCCATAGAGACTTTTTTCTCCAATATGATCCACCAAAAATCTATTTATCCCCCAGTGATTTGTAGATGGTCTACATCTGAAATCTCTATTCCATTGACTGTTCTTACAAAAATACCCACTTTGAAAAACAGCACCTGCCCCGACCGGTGTGGCTCAGTTGGTTCTTGGTCAGGGAACATGCCTGGGTTGCAGCTCAATCCCCGGTAGGGGGCATGCAGGAGACAGCCAATGGATGTTTTGCTCTCATATCGATGTTTCTCTTTCCCTTCCTCTCTTTAAAAATCAATAAAAATTTTTAAAAAATTAAAAAATATAACTAGTCTTATAATATACCTTAATATTCAGTAGGAACAACCTCCTAATCTTTTTTAAAGAAAACTTATCTATTTAGACTTTTATTCTTCCATGTAAACTCTAGAATAAGTGTATTGGGGTTGTTTTTTTTTTTAAAAAAAGGGCAAATCTGACATCTTTCTAATACTGCAGTGGTTCCCAAACTTATTAGGCCTACCACCCCCTTTCCAGAAAAAATATTACTCAGCCCCTGGAAATTAATTTTTTAAAAATTTTAATAGCAGTTACTCATCGCCCCCAAATGCACCTGTGGCCATCACTGCCCCCCTGGATCGCTGCAGCGCCCACCGGGGGGCGGTAGCGCCCACTTTGGGAATCACTGTAATACTGTATCATCATTCCATGCAAAAACATGATATATCTCCATTTATTTAGATCCTCTTCTATATTCTTTATTAGAGTTTTGAAGTATTCTTTATTTTTCTTTTGGGAGCCACTACTTGGAACTGCACACTGTAGGTGGTGATTTCATCTTGTGATGAAGTATTCTTAACTAGATGCCTGGTGCACAAAATTTGTGCATGGGTAGGGTCCCTAGACCTGGCGGTGATCAGGGCGGATTGGGGCCTTCTGGCTGCCAGCTGGGGCTTTCCTTGGTTCCGCACCACCCACTGGTGGTCAGCGCATGTCATAGCGAGTGATCAAACTCCTAAGGGGACACTTTGCATATTAGCCTTTTATATATATAGACTAGAGGCCCGGTGCATGAAAATTCATGCACTTGTGGGGGAGGGTCCCTTAGCCTGGCCTGGACCCTCTCGCAGTCCGGGACCCCTCGGGGGATTCCAACTGATGGCTTAGGCCCACTCCCCGGGGAATTGGGCCTAAGCTGACAGTCAGACATCCCTCTGGCAGCCCAGGAGCCCTCAGGGGATGTCCAACTAATGGCTTAGGCCTGCTCCGGTTAGCGCTACCACAGAGGCGGGAGAGGCTCCCACCACTGCCGCTGCGCTGGCCAGCCATGAGCCGGCTTCTGGCTGAGCGGCACTCCCCTTATAGAAGCGCACTGATCACCAGAGGGCAGCTCCTGCGTTAAGCGTCTGCCCCCTGGTGGTCAGTACTCATCATAGTGAACGGTCATTCTGCCAATAGGGCCAATTTGCATATTACCCTTTTATTATATAGGAAGTATGGTAGTCTTGTGGACTCTTCAGTGTTCTAGATAGTTTGTGGATATTGTTGCTACTGTGAATATATTTTTACTGATAATTTCTAGTTGTTTTTTTCTGGTTAGAGAATGCTATTTTTCTAGTGTCATCTTTTAGCTGGCAACCATGACTTATACTTAATTTTAATGGTTTGTCTTTTGATTCTATTGCTTTTTCTTTTCTAGATTGATGATCATAAAATGATAGTTTTTATCTCTTCCTTTTCAATGCTATTAGCTAGTTTTCTTTTTCTTTTTTTATTTTAGAGAGTAGGAGAGAGAAATATCGATTTGATGTTCCACCTATCCATGCACTCACTGGTTGATTTTGTATGTGCCCTGACTGGGGATCAAACCCGCAACCTTGGCATATCAGGATGGCGCTCTAACCAACTGAGCTACTCCGCCAGAGCTATTACCTCCTACTTTTCTTTATATAATACTGACTACAGTCCTCTAGTACTGCAAGCAGTTGTAAGAGAAGGCATCTTTGCCTTTTCCCAAATTTAAAGGGAATGCCTCTGTAGATTTTTGGTACAGAGCCATGACCAGGCTGTAGACATACTACTTTCCCCAACTATACACATCCATGTACTTATTACTACCCATATGCATGAACACACCCAGTCATGTGGAATCATGAGAGCAAGAAAAAGAAATTCTGTATATTTAAAGTGCACTGTTTCCAGGGCACTTTCTTGCTATATAATACCCTGCAATTACACAAGCTGCCAACTTTTCCAAAATAAACAGTGACAGATCTATTCCCAGTATCCAGATGGTCTTAGAAACCCAAGATCACTGAAGATCTAATCCTGACTGCTGCCTGAAGTGGGTCCAGAAGGAACAACCTCACCAATGTTTTAGCACGTGTCCATTCCATATAAGGATCCCCCCTCCTCACCCCAACCACACATACGCCTTTTCCCCAACAGTCACCCACCTGTTACACCCCAAAATAGCACTCATAAGCAGAAAAGTCACAGGGTCCCTTTACTCATCAAGATACTAAATATATGTAGGACTTTGCATTTATAAAAGCCAGTAAAAGCAAAGAGCTGTAAAGAATCTTACTACATAATATGGCTAGGAAACAATGAAAATTAATAATCTATAAAATAGGAATAATGCAGTATCAGGCCTTCTTCTAGCACTATTCATGATGTACTTACACAGTTTACGTTTGCAAACTCTCAGATAAACTAGGGCCTAGTACACATGAAAGAGACTGAGTTGGCACTAATATGAAATATTTATGCTAAAAACACAAACCATGACTCTAGTATTTAAATGAACCATGGTCCACAGATGAACCATGCGACTGGTACATGAGAAGATGCTAAAGAAGAGATTAATTTTTTAACACTCGAGTTTGCATTCAAATGGCAGGTGATAAAGAATTGGAAGTTTTTCTAAAAAAGGACACTTCATTTACAACAGCAAGTTACAACAGTAAGTTCATGGTATTGTTAACAAAAAATGGCTTAAAAGGAGACATTCTAGAAAAAATATAACCTATCCCATGAAGAAGTATTTTGTCATTAAACAAGACCAAATATAAAGGAAATTAGATGGAACTTTTATGAGTTCCCACTCACCCCGCCCCCCCCTCCCCGCGCAAGACTAGAAATGGACAGGGCTTTTTCACTGTGAAAAACAGATTTCATCTTTTATAGAACTTCTTATGTATATTTTCACATATGCCTTTTTCATATCATAGCAAAGGTAAAATGTCAGTCTTCAGAACCAAAGTTTTTTTGTTAGTTTTTGGCATCCTTGACCTTTCATTTGCTATTCCCTCTTCTGCGACATTCCTTATCCTTGACCCTAGTCCACTGGTGAAACTTTTTCAAAACCCAATCCTTTGCACAGGAACTGTTTCCTTAACAACTTCCCCCCTCCTCCCCTTGAGGAGGCACTGGTTAATGCTTCTCTTGGCACTACTGTACATCTGTCTAGTGTATGGACGATATTGTATTTTTAATTTTTTCTTTTAAAAAGCTGTACCCAGATCTCTACTTAGCTTGTTTAAGTAAATTCGTACTGTTTATCAGCTACTGGTATCTTAAATACAACTCATATAATCTACCTTTCTTCTAGTTCTAGAAAATTGTAAGCCATTGTATCTTTGAATATTCCCTGTCCTCCATTCCATTATTTCCTTCTGGACCTCTGGGTAGACACTGTTGGACTCTCTCACTTTATCCTTCATGGTTGTTTTTTTTAACACATCATTCGACAGCACTTTTCTTGGCAGAGAGGACAGTTCTGTTTTCACTAACAGATCGTGGAAGCAGCTACACGTCCAAATTGGGAAAGAACCTATCCTCACATCAAGGCCGGCCTGGGCTGTGCTTCTGGAAAACTCTCTGCATGAGATCACAACTAAGCAGGCTTTTACCACAGTAAATTGCAGTCAGAATATTCACACAAGGACAGAACTGAAAGGCTCTTATCCTCAGCTAGTCCTCATGTCTCTGACACCCTGCCGGTCTCGGCAGCCTGGGTATCAAAACACCAAGTTGGGAGACTTAGAAGGGACTGAACAGCGATTTCCCCTGACTGTGCCTGCTCCCCGTCAGCTAATACAGGACACAGTGGGCACCGCAAGGGCGTTCCAGTCCAGCTGTTCGAACCTTGAGTAGTTACTGAAACTCCCCTCGCCTGAATTTTCCTCATCCATGAAACAGGGATAATGAGATGGTGGCTGTGACTGAACCAAGTAAAGCAGGTAAACAAGTTTTCACAGTGACTGACATCAACTAAAAAAATATATACATGAGTAGAGATATGTGCAATGGGCCCAGAACGGGTACTGGTGAACATTATGAACTCGGGCTTACAAATAACAAGAATTTGTGTTTTCCTAAAGAGGCGTGAAAATGGCAAGTGCTCTTATGGATTTATTTGAAAGAATTTCTAAAACGGGTTCTTAAAATCATGTGTCTCTTCGGAGAGGTCAATGGGGGGAAAAGGAGATATATGTAATACCTTAAACCCGTGGTCGGCAAACTGTGGCTCGAGAGCCACATGCGGCTCTTTGGCCCCTTGAGTGTGACTCTTCCTAAGCCTTAGGAGCACCCTAATTAAGTTCATAACAATATACCTACTTATATAGTTTAAGTTTAAAAAATTTGGCTCTCAAAAGAAATTTCAATCGTTTCACTGTTGATATTTGGCTCTGTTGACTAATGAGTTTGCCGACCACTGCCTTAAACAATAAAAATTTTAAAAAAAATCATGTGTCTCTTCGGAGAGGTCAATATGGGGGAAAAGGAGACACATATAATACTTTAAACAATGAAGAGTTTTTAAAAAATCATGTGTCTCTTATTCAATACTCTTGTATCTAAAGAATACTACGATGATCACTCATACTTTAGGCGACGTAAAATTTTGAAGGGTTTTCCTGATCAAAACCAAAGTATTAAATGACATCCACTACTGAGACACTTTGGTGTAAGTAAAAATGGGACTGGTGCTTAGTGTGAGGAGCTACTGTGAGTAGTAGCTCCTCACACTACAGTCAGTCCCTCTGGATTCAGTTCCCTCATTTCCAAGAGAGATAACATCTGCCCTCCTAGCCAAAGGGTTTTTAAGGTTCCAATCACAATGTTTATGAAAAGTGCTCTTTTAAATTATAGGCTGTTGTACAACATTAACTATGGTGCCATCTTGTTTGTTGACTCCTTGGACACTGCCACACCCTAAGAAACTTTTGAGTAATCAGAAACTTTCCGGCCAACAAATGATCCATATCACCCCCTTCGCTCACCCAACCCTCCATGTAAGCCACTGCAAATGGCTGATAAGAGGGAGAAGGAGCCACAATATGATCAGTGTGGGGAAATGTGTGAACAGCCAATCTCCCATCCTGTCATCAAGCCCTGTGCCCTTCTCCACAACCCACGCCCCATCTTCATCACCATCCAGAGCTGACTAGGAGCTCCCCAATACCTGGCACAGAGTGGGTGTTCAATATTTACTGAATTAAACAGCAATTTGAATGGAATTTTCACCTCTTTCAGTAAAATCATATATTCATCTTTACACTATTCCCACATTTTAAAATACGACATATTTAAGAAAACTAGTAATGAAGTATTAAGCTCTATAGCTCGTCTTCCTGGGTTCTAGCTATGTGACCTTGGACAAGACTGAACTTCTTAAGTTTCAATTTCCCAGCTGGAGAATGGAGGCATGGGGTCTGGTATATAGTCAGTGCTCATTAAATGAATGTTAGCATGCATTATTTATAATTACAATAACTGAAGCACGGTGTTCTGCGCCACTAATGAGTGCAAAGACCAAACACCACTTAAAATAGGTAATAAAACCAGGAGATAAAGGAATCCCCTCTTAGAAGTTGAAAAAGATAAGCTAGTGCCCCACAAAATGTTAGAAACAAATTATATATGAATATCATGTTTTCTTTTTAAAAATTCACCTTCTAGACATAATTCTTCTAGTTTTTAACAGTGTAGTGCTGTGACTTTGTCCAGGCATTTGCATTTCTCTCTATTTTTACTTATTTTCTAAAACACTTCCTTAGTTAACATTAATGTTAATATTACTTATTTTTTAAAGAAAGAAACAAAGCTTACAAAAGTCTAAAATGATGAGAAAAGTCCTTACAATGAACAATTCAACATATATTAATCAATCTTTCCTCCTCAGCTCAAGGGTTAATTTAAAAAGTTATAGTTTAGCCCTAGCCAGGTTGGAGCATCTTCCCATACACCAAAAGGTTTCGGGTTCGATTCCCAGTCAGGGCAATGCTAAGGTTTCGGGTTTAATCCCTGGTCTGGGCGCACATACTAGAGGCAACTGATCGATGTTTCTTTCTCTCTCTCTCAAAATCAATTAAAAAACAAACAAAACATATCCTTGGGAAGATTAAAAAAAAAAAGTTACAGTTCAATCACTTGTATACAGTAATCAGAATTCATGTTATATTAATCAATATTAGACTATAATAAACTCAAATCCAGAGGCTTTCTTTTAGAGATGAGTACTTGACTTAAAAAGTATTACTTTATTTTAGAGAGAGGAAGGGAGAGAGAGAGAAACATCAATGTAAGAGAGAAATATCAGATCAGTTAGTTGTCTCCTAAACACACCTGGACTGGGGATGAATGAAACCTGCAACCTGGGCATGTGCTCTGACTGGGACTCAAACCCACCACCTATTAGTGTACCTACAGGTCAACGCTGCAACCAGCTGAGTACCTGACTTCTTGTACCTACGGCACATGAGGCATTAATTCAAGTTTGAGGACAATGATTTAGCTTGAAGAAGGAGGGGCAATGACCTCATTGCTTTAAGGAAAAATCCTTTCTTCCTGATTAGGGAAGAGAAACCCCTAAAATGGTTGAGGACACACCCTCAGAGTTCTAAAGACCTGGGGAGATGCTGCTACATAAAAAGAACTATTTTCCAGAGGGACACTGAGTAGCTGAGGCCACTGATCTCTAGTTGTGCTCCACTTTGTCTGGGGGTTGATGTAAAAATGTTAGTGTTAAAAGTAATGGAGAAGCATTGCTTTTTTTCTTGTTCTCTTTTTCTCATTCGCAGCAGAACCCCAGAAAGTGGTTTTGGCTCCGGTTTCTCTAACTGTTGCCATCCATGAGATCACTGTGGGTGGAGAATTCCTCATATTCGGACTCCTTTCTTGGGGTAGTAACACATGCCTCCTTCGCTAAGATAAACGTACTGTGGTTATTAATGCACTGACTTGGGGAATAGATACCTCTTCTTGGTTTGGTGTATTAATTCAGGGAGATAAAGACATAATGAAATGCTTCTTAAAATGTTTGGCTCACACACTCCTTCATCCACCCAGAACCTGGTGAAAACTATGGGGAAAAACCCTGTGTAGTCCAGGAGGCTGTGGGTGCCTTAATGAGATTTTCATTTAACTCAGCTTGCACACAATTTACACAGCAGCCAGGAATCACACAAAAGGCTTCCTACACTGTTAAAGGAAAGAAACATTTCCAAATGTAATATGACTTACTTAGAAATTCTGTACAAGCCCACCACTATGTTAACTAGTTAATACCATCGGAATCAGTTAAGAGGCAAAAACTCCTCTTATCCTTTCGGGCCAGTGACTGGCACTTGGAAGAAGGTGCACAATGAACGCTGAGGGACCAGTCAGGGCTGAAGGCAGGAGGGCGGGGAAAGCTGGAAGCTGCGGCGTCTAAATTCCAGATACCCAGCCGCCGGTCCCCCAGCAGCCCCTCATGTGCCCTCCTCCTGGCCGGTCCTTGCTATCGAGGAGTTCCTGGCTTTTTAAATTTTTTTGCTCTTAAGAGTCTGGGAGCAAAGAAACTGATCATCCCCATCATGGACCGCTCAACTGCTGCCTCTGTTAAAAATGCATACAAAGGTCACGACTAAGTTGAAAACACGTGGAAGACCGTACACCGGCCCCCAGAAGGTTCCAGAAGTTCTGGGGACCGGAGTGCCACCGTCCCTGCTCGAAAATGACGTCACTTTCCCCGTCTCCGCTTTTCCTCTGCTCGGACCGCTCGGCTCGGTTAGGGAGCACGTGGCCGCCGGTGGGGCGGGCGCTCGCGGGGTTCTCCTTAGATCTAATGCGCTTCCTCGCGGACGAGGAGTGGGACCCCCCCCCCCACCCGCCCCAAAACACACTGCAGCGCGTTCCGGCCACCAGACTGCGGCCGGCGCCGCGCACCCCGCGCACCTGAGCTCCAGCTGGTCCAGGCTCTCCAGCAGGCGGCTGGAGCGGTCGGCCATGGAGGAGGAGCGGCAGAAGCGGCCCTCGTTGGCTTTCGCGTTGATCTTCGCCTGAGCCATCTGAGCTCCGAGGCGGGGCGGCCAAGAGGTCACCGGCCTCTCCGGCGGCGGCAAGTGGAGAGCGCGGCGACCGCAGCGTCGCAGTCACCCGGCCCCCGCCTCCCTCTGACGCCGCGGGGGGCGGCCGGGAGGAGCCGAGGCCCCGCCGCCGCCCGCGAGGCCAAACAAGGGCAGGCGCGCCGCCCAGGCCCGGGGCTCGGTGCCGGCCGGGGCCCTCTCCGGGCACGGGCTGGGGTGGGCCTCTGGGGGTCTGGGGGGCGAAACCGGGCGGCGGCCGAGCCACCTCCTGGAGAGGCAGCCGCGGAGGGGAGGCCCTGCTCGGCGGACCCCGAACCACCGGCCCGCTGCGGAGACGCACACCATACCCCTCCCCCGCCGGCCCCGACCCTCCGCGCAGCGGGAGTTCCCGATCGCCTCACGGAAGGGACTTAGCGGTGGACTGTGGTGTACCGCTCAGAGATGGCTTCGTTAGTTTCTCCCCGCCCCATGATCCCACAGCAAAAACCAAAACGCTGCCGTCCCTGGGTGCGTGGAGAAAGGTCCCCTTGGGAAAGAGAGGGCGTTTGACCTCCGCTCCTGGGCGGCCGGTCCTGGCCCGCTCCCCTGCTCCCCCTTTCCCGAGATGAGGCGGCCAGCTTGGACAACACCGCTGAAGGAATAAGGAAAAGTAAAAACACCCGACTTCCGCAAGGGGCATTTACTTCATTTCAAACCCATTCCAAGGAAGGGGTTTTTAATGAGCTTTTTTCCCCTATTAAAAATTATTCTAGTTGGATTTTTTTTAATATATTTTTTTTATTGATTTTTACAGAGAGGAAGGGAGAGGGATAGAGAGTTAGAAACATCGATGAGAGAGAAACACCGATCAGCTGCCTCCTGCACATCTCCTACTGGGGATGTGCCCACAACCGAGATACATGCCCTTGACTGGAATCGAACCTGGGACCCTTCAGTCTGCAGGCCAATGCTCTATCCACTGAGCCAAACCGGTTAGGCTGGAATTTTGAGTGAAATAACTGGTAACAATTAAGGCCCATTTTTCGCCCAATTTATGTAAATCTGTAGAAGTGGAATTGGGCTGGGAGTGCAAAGATTTATCTAATTTTGCTCTAGCTGGTTGGGACTGAAGGGTCTGGTTTGGATTCTGGTCAAGGTCATGTACCTCAGCCGAGGCCCATGTGGAAGGCAGCCGATCGACGTTTCTCTCTCCCTTCCACTCTACTTTTTTTTTTACCTACTTTTAAAACTCAGGATTTGCTCCTATTACAGCTCTATGCTTCATATTGCAAGGATGAGAATGTACAGAGTGCATAGAATGAAAGGTAATAGCAGTTTAAAGCTGAAGATCAAAGCCATTTAAATACTTGAACAAAGATGAGGCCCTTAAAACTGGAACCCAATTCCCTCAGACTTCAATCTCAACACTAATAAACTCTTGGTGTACGGGATTACTTGACTTTGATAAATATATTTTGTCCTGTCATGGCACAAACTTGGAATGCAAATATATTTTGTGAATGGTTTAAAAGTCTATCCAGTAATTTCAGAATCATCTTAGGCTCTCTTTTTCTCATATGCCAGATCCAATTCTTAACCCTTTGCACTCCGCTGTCCCCTCTCAGGGGACATCGGAATTCTAGCATATCACTCGGATGTCCCCTCTCAGGGGACATTGCAGTTTATTAGTGATTACGGGGAATTGAGTTATTTCAACGCAACTTTTTGAGACATGCATGTTTCCCTGAAGTTTTATCTTGAAATGGCACAAGAAATTAAATCAAAATATCGTAAAATTACTAAGATATATACAAGAAATGTCAGCGGGTTTTGTGTCGGATTAAACAATAAACTACATATTCCCGATGTGGGACAAAGAAAACGGGACTGCATTGTGTGTTCTAACAGGAAAACACCTGGTGGCAGACGTCAAACCACTTATTACTGTCAAACATGCACTAATCAGCCTGCAATGCATATTGGGGAGTGTTACAAAACTTATCATACTGTACAAAATTATAAACAATAAAATATTGTTTTTTTTGCAAATATACATTCCTCGATGTCACCCAATTCATATAAGTCCAATATCATTATAATACGTTACTTGGTTCCAAAATTATACTAAATAATACAAGGGTCTGTAAATGCACGTTTCCGCCGCAAAGTAGCGTCGAGTAGCTGGTAGCCAATGTCCAGAATGGTTCGGAGTGCAAAGGGTTAAGTAAATCCCCGCAGCTCTACCTTCAGAATGTATCCAAATTCATCTCCCTGATTTCACTGCCACCACTCTGGTCCCAGCACCACCAATTCTTACCTGGATGATAGATACTGCAGCAGTACCTCCTGTCTGGTCTTCCTGCTTCTACTCTTGTCTCTCAGGTATGTTCTCACTGCATTACTTTAGTAATCCTTCTAAATAAGGCAGAGCACACAACTTATTCTCAGAAACCTTCAATGGCTCATTTGAGTCAAAACCACGATCTTTTAAAAAGGCCTCAGGAACTTCCTCTATTACTCTCCTAGCTCAGTGGTCGGCAAACCTCGGCTCTTTGGCCCCTTGAGTGTGGCTCTTCCACAAAATACCACGTGTGGGCGTGCACGTACAGTGTGATTGAAACTTCGTGGCCCATGTGCAGAAGTCGGTTTTCGGAAAGGAGATAGACGAAACAAGTATACAAGATGAGTGTGGATGGGAGAGTTGGAAGGGGTCGACCTCATCGAACGTACCTCAATCAGATTGAGGACGTTTTTAACAAAGGCGAGCTTAGGAGTACCCTAATTAAGTTAGTAACAATGTACCTACCTATAAAGTTTAAAAAATTTGGCTCTCAAAAGAAATTTCAATCGTTGTACTGTTGATATTTGGCTCTGTTGACTAATGAGTTTGCCAACCACTGTCCTAGCTCATAAGAGCCTTCCTGCTTTTCCATATATATATATATCAAGCTGACTTTTAGACCTTTTCACCCTCCATCTGGCGCTCTCTTCCTCATACATATTTCCATGGCTCACTCGATCAACTTCTTCAGGTCTTTGCTCAAGTTCATATGGTCAGGGTCCTTCCGGACCACCCCACTAAAAATAAGCCTCCCACCCCCACACTGTCTTTCCCCTCCCTATATTCCTTCATTACACTTATCACCACCAGATATACTCGCTTATTATCTAACCCTCTATCCAACCTCCTCTCCTCCAATGTGTGCTCCACAGAGTGGGCTTCGTTTTGCTCACCGATAAATCTCAAGTGCTTAGAACAGTCAGTCGCTGGCAAATAATTAATATTTTGTGAGTGAATGAATGAGTAAATGAATAAAACAAAAAGATAAGCATCTTTGTCAATGTTAGAAACGTTTACTTTGGTAATTTAGTTTATCCACAACTTTCTGTAATGTTATCCATTGATTAAATCTTCCCTCCCCTTTGTAGCTAAATTCAAATAATAAAAAATTTAAAAATTATTTTTTTGCTTAACAGGTAAAACACAATCACTGACAACTAATTAAAATATTAAACAATTCAATTACCTTTTTAAGGGTCATGATGAAAAGCTGCTTAATAGAGCATCAGTGTACCTCACACCTGAGTGTGGCAGCTCTGGCACAGAGGTGTTGTTTCTTCTTCTTTCCCACATCTGTTTAGCCACACTTCTTTCTGGAATGTCCTTTATGCTTCTCACTATTGTGCAAGCTCCTGCAGGTGTCTCTAGCAGCAGTTCTCAACCTGTGGGTCGTTCGACCCTTTGGCGGTCGAACGACCCTTTCACAGGGGTCACCTAAGACCATCCTGCATATCAGATATTTACATTACGATTCATAACAGTAGCAACATTACAGTTATGAAATAGCAACGAAAATAATTTTATGGTTGGGTCACATGAGGAACTGTATTTAAAGGGCCAGAAGGTTGAGAACCACTGCCTAAGGTCTGGCTCAGGGACTACCTCCTAAGGCCTTACTTGACCACTTTAACATACAAATTAAAAGCACAACGTAGTCATTTTGGAAAAATGACTGGTAAATTCTCAAGCTATAATCTCTATTTAAAAAATATATACAAGTAGATAGAATAGACCTTTAATATATTTTTATTGATTTCAGAGAGGAAGGGAGAAGAGAGAGACAGAAACCTCAATGATGAGAGAGAATCATTGATCGGCTGCCTCCTGTACTCCATACTGGAGATAGAGCCCGCAACCCACGCATGTGCCCTGACTGGGAATTGAACCGGCGACCTCCTGGTTCATGGGTCAATGCTCAAACACTGAGCCACGCTGGCTGGGCTAGACCTGATATCTTAAAAAATAAAAACACAAATTGATTTCCAATGTGGGTTGAAAAGACTATACTGTAAAAAGACTATGCTGTAATAAAAAAATATAGCAATGCTATTTCACACTAAAATATGTAACTGCAGAAAAAGAACAAAATTCTAGCCATGACTTTTTTCTTAAAAAAAATTATAGAAAATTTTCAACTTGGTAAGCAATTACTACTCAAAAATTTTGGGGTAACATTTCTGGTCAAATGACATGAAGCATATATATATAGAAACAGTATAACAACCCTTCTTAGTCTAATTATGTGATATTTTAATTATTCACAATGGGGACCTCAACATTTAAAAATTAAATATGTAATACCAAACATAGGAAACTGAAAAACAATTTAATGAATAACAAAATGAAGATACATATGAAATAAAAATTTTAAAGGGTTAAGAAAGATTATTCCTGAGTAGACCTGGAACATTATTTTTTTTTAAGATTATGTTTACACAAATATATAAAAAAGACTATTATTATTAAAAATAAGTTTAATTTTATGCAAGTATTTTGACAACATTCCCTTTAAACAGTAGGTAATGCAAGTCACATAAAAGTCTAAGCAGGTAAAAGGAATAGAAAAGGTTTCTTTTTAATTATTTCAAAGAAATTAGGGTATTCTTTTTATTCTAGCAATGTGCTTCTCTAAGTAAAGCAGGAATTACACCTCTGAGTGAAACCCACAAAGAACAGTGCTCGTAACACTTTTAAACTGTTTTCACGATTAGTTTCAATTACTGTCT